TGAGTTTTTTCTAATTTGCAACATCTTTATATCCATATCAAATTATGCAGACAGACTTCTCCTGTAGAATATTTAATGACCTGATTTGTCATATAATAACAAACCATATATTGATTTGTTTCATTTGAATCAATCTATTCAATAGACCATTGTTAAGTAGACATACCTTAATGTGACATGTAAAAACAGTTAATGAACCATATGATTAGCTCTCTGCTAATACCCTTCTAGGCTTATTCTTACTGATTTTTTTCTATTTATCAAAGCCTAATGGGACAGACTAGACCAGTTCAGTAGCTTGTGTAGAAAGTATTCCTATTGTATTGTAATTAATCCTGAATAATTACCGTCTTGACATTGTCATCTAATTATTGTTTTCCAACTCCATTTGTGAAGATCAGTTGATATTAATATTTGTACTTACGAGATTGACAGGGGATGATTGTACAGAAAGTATTGCCTCTTCTCAAAGCACTGTTAAAATAGGCTTGTGTGAAGCAGCTATACTTTGCAGAAACAACACACAAACTATTATTTGTTTCTGTAAGGTATAACAATATCATTTTCCTTCTGTAGGAGATTGGGAATTGTGGTGTTGTTGTTTTTTTGGACATAATTTTGGAGCCTACTCTTGGATAGTTTTAATAATATAGTCTTTTGATGAAGTTCAGAACAAAACAATCTGTCATGGAAATTTGCAGGAAATACACTAATTCATTACTGGACAAAGAAGCAATTTTGGTCATTTTGTTACAGGGGTGAACAGCCTTTCACAGTCACTGAGTGCCAACCAGCTGTTAGCTACCACTCTCACCCACCTTGATCTCTCAGGAAATATTCTTCGAGGTGACGATCTTTCAGTAAGTGTTCCAATTTTGATATTTTATAAATCAGACTTTTTCCATCTGATTTTTTTAATAGTTGTGGTAAAAGTGCAACTTCCAGAATCTCTGCCAAGAATGGACATTTCAAATTTGATAAAGTGCTCTATTTCATCTAGGTGAAGGACATAGTAAAGGACATGCTAGCCAGAAAAAAAATTATTTGTTGCAGATGAAATAAATGGCACTCTTGTTTGCTTTTGCAAATGTTTGGCTTTAAATGATAAGGGAACATTATGCTATTTGATGGAAAGATGGATGATACAGTATGACAGTACAATAATTTTATTCTTTCATTATTGGTTTAGTAAATAAATACAAGGCAAAAGATAAAAAGAAAAAAGAAAGATGAATAATACTTTAATATTTTATTTTAATTAAAAATGATTGTTAGTTGAAAATGAAGGTGGATGGATTATTTAACATCGAGGTTGTTGATCTTCCAAAATAAGCTATTTTGTAATGTCTGTATGTTAAAAAATGAGTTATTTATCTACTGTTTTGAGTTCATGGAGTTAAGATAGAAGTAATAAGAAAGCTAATCTTATTTCTTTCTCTTTCACACATCTAGTCCCTGTGTAATTTTTTGGCTCAGCCAAATGCCATAATTCATCTGGATTTATCAAATACAGAGTGTGCATTAGACATGGTAATATTTATTAATTTATTATAGAGAATCCCCACTTTTATATTCCAAATTGTTTTACGTACATACTTACTATCTTATTCCTTTCTGATTTAGATGTTTGGAGCACTTCTTCATGGCTGCCTTCAGCATCTTGCCATCCTAAATCTGTCAAGGACAGTTTTTTCACACAGGTCAGCATTCAAAATATTATGCTTCGGCATGAATTTGGTGCTATAAGTGGAATTCTTGGTGTTCTCTGAGCTTGGTTATTTTCTTGCAGATATTTCTTTACCAAGAACTATCAGTACTATGAACAGCACTGATAATGTTACCTAACTTGGTAATGAAACATCTGCAAGAGAACAACCGAGCTCAGAGAACACCAAGTAATCCATAGTTCAACTTATCAACACATCAACATACGCAGACACACAGACACACTCAGACACACACATATACAGAGGGTTTTTTAAAAATAGATACAGGTATATCTGTGAAGCACATACCCCACACTATGATTCAAAGCATCCCCTGGCTTGAAAAAGCAAACAATGGAGGATTTGATTGAAATGAGAAACTAAACTCTTAGTTCAGTCTCAAAATATAGATTAAGGGCATACTTAATTGTAAAAGTAGTCCTTGACTTATGACCAGTCACTTAGCAACCATTCATAATTATGATGGACCTTTCCAGGGCTGCTTACAACCCAGTTCTGTAATTTTGACAACAGCCCTTCCCCCACGGTCATATGGCTGCATGTCAGACAGTCAGCAACCAGCATGCAGTTTGGGCCATTTACAGAGTCCCACAGTCATATGATAACATTTTATGATGTTTTTGGCAAAACCAGCCTATAGCAAGCAGTTGGTTTGCTTAATGATTGTGATGGTTGCTTAATAACTGCAGCATTTGCTTAATGCAAAAAAGGTCATAAATTTGGGTCAGTCACCTATTTTATGACATCCCGACTTACAAATTTGATGGGCAGGCTCCATTACAATTGTAAGACAAAGACTATCTGTACAGAGAATTTACTTCTGAATTTATAATATGTATTCTAATGCATGGTACTGAATTTAATGGAGCATTTTAGTTCTAGTATGCATCCTTTTATCAAAATGGATACATCATCTTTCTATGGTGACTGATGGAAGTTTTAGTTTTGATGGTAAAGTAACATTGTCATTTTTCCATAGCACAGAGCTAGGAATACTGGATCTAAGATTCATCAATTTGAATTTTCTCAAATATATTAATTTCCTACACTGACATGGCAGGCATGTCTTGCAGTGTTTATACATAGTGAAGAGACAATATGGCTACTTGAAAAGTTGTGGTTTAAGTTTCTTTTCAATTCATTCATCCAACTATGATCATTGATCCAGGTATTAAAAGTGGTTAATGAATGTTATTCAGATATTGTATAAAATATACGTAGCTCTTTAATTTTTCTTATGCATAATTACCATTGCCTTTTTATGGGAAATAATAATAACTGGGGATTCTTATCCCTGCTTTGAAGATCTTTTGAGCTTATGGAATATGACCTGTTTTTTAAAAAAATCTATCTTCTTTAAAGAAAGAGCAAGGAAATTCCGCCATCCTTCAAGCAATTTTTCAGCAGTTCACTTGCTTTAATGCAAATCAACTTTTCAGGAACTAAACTTGCACCTGAGCCTCTAAAGTAAGTAAACATTTTTTTCTTTCAAGACTGTTTTATTTCATTGGGAAAGTATTTTGTGAAAACTTTACTGTGGTTAGGAAAATGACCCATATATTTTGTGAACTTGAGAAAGGTTATTTAGCTTTCACATGATGGAGAGTTAATGTCAGAAGTGAAATATTCAGTATGAATTTGCTTTGACTTGACTTTTGATGTCCAATCTTCACTCGTGCACAGGAGAAAGGGTTATGATTTAAGCAGTCCTATACCTACATTTGAATATGACAACTTAACACATTATTTATGTAGTAAAAATCTTTAATTCAAATTGAAAAAACCCTATGGGATACTTTACAGCATGGATGCCCAATCTTTTGGTTTGCCTGGTTCATTGAGTGAAGAAAAATTGTCTTGGGCTGCTTATAAAATATATAATATATTTAATGTATATAAATCACATAATAATGTTAAAAATGTATGATCTTGTGGGGCCTTATTACTAGCTGTCCAGGGCTGTGGGTTGACATGCCTACTGTACAGGGTTGCTTGTTCTTTGATTTCTGCTTTATAAATTATAAAATATAGCAGTTTTTCCATCTTATATCCTAAGTTGCTTTTTTTTGAAGTATTTGAATATTTTTGTACTGTTAATAGTTTAAGTGTAGTACACTTCATTAAATTAATATTAAATGTTTTGGCTTTATTTAGAAGATTAAACACATTGCAGAATGATGTTTTCATAGCATTTGTTTGTCATGTCAACATACGAGACTTTGCTTGCTATATTCCTCAATTTTCAAACCATGAAATGAAGAAGAAAATTTGGGTGCAGAGCAAAGCTTGAGGTTCTGTGCATTTGAAGCTCTCTAGCTCTCCATTGCATGGTTTACCCTGAAATAGCATTATTTATCTAGCATATTCCTTTCAGATTACAAATAAGGGATAATACACTAAATGACCATATTCTTAAAGAACAGCAATATAATTGAAATGACCTCTAATTTGCTGATTTAGTAAACTTTATAGCGGTATTCCATATAATTCCAATTTATTTTTCAGAGCTCTCCTACTTGGTCTTGCTTGTAATCAAAATTTGAAGGAGGTGTTTCTAGATCTGAGTAACTGTGAGGTAGGAAATATTTACAAATGGCATCCATGTCAAATAATACTGCCCTCCTTAGATATATGTTTCTTATACTTTGTACATGTCATCATGCTTAAAAAGTATTAAAAAGCAACGGATGGAAACTAATCAAGGAGAGAAGCAACCTAGAGCTAAGGAGAAACTTCCTGACAGTTACAACAATTAACCAGTGGAACAACCTGCCTCCAAAAGCGGTGAATGCTCCAACACTGGAAGTTTTTAAGAAGAAATTGGACAGCCATTTGTCCGAAGTGGTATAGGGTTACCTGCCTGAGCAAGGGGTTGGATTTGATGACCTTCAAGGTCCCTTCCAACTTTGTTATGATGATGATGATTATGATGATGATGATGATGATGATGATGATGATTATTTAACAGTACATTGAATTTACAAAACCTGAATGTCTTTGATGCAACTGCGTGCATGAACAGCAGCAAGATATGGTACTCTGTTCTGGAATAGGAAAGATTCAGATAGAAAATTTGATTTTACATGTAAGTCTGCACTAAAAAAATAATTAGAAGTTCATGGGCAAAACTAAAATCTTTCTTGCAGTTATTGGCTAGTATGAATCTGTTTTGTTTCTTGTATTCTTAAGTGTAAGGTCTCCTTAAGTTATTGTGAAACCTTTTTATCACAGGTGCAATTAGTGTCTTCAGCTAAAATGGCAAAGTACACTTAATTATTGATATAAATCCATTCCTTATTGAGGGTTGCACGCATATCAAACAGAAAGCACAGCAGCTCAGATTTCTCTGTCCAGATTCTCAGGACTTCATCACTGAAATGTACAAAAAAAAATTCATCTCAAATATATCCAGCAACAAATATCTAGCATACTAACTCTGAACCAAAGCTTCATTCCTTTGTATATTATTAATTTTAATATATAAAATATTTTAGTTCCTCAGTGCTAACATTTTTCCTTTCTTTCTTTCTGCTTCCATTAGCTTGGTCACTGTGTAAGTACACATCATGGCTTAACTAGCAACCTCTTAATTATTTACCCTTAAGCATCTCACTTCCTGCCTATCCATTACACAGTTTTTTCTTCCATGCCTTCAGCTGATAAAGATCTGGATGCTGATATTTGGCCACAGCATAATGGGTTTAGAATGAATGGTCAAAAAACAGTTATAGTCAAAAGAATAGTTATGATCACTGCCAGCTATTTCCTGTGATAGAACTGGAAAATATACCAATTTTTAAACTGCCTTTTTCTAGGAATCCCTACTAGGCTGAGAATTCCCAAGTGCATATGTACAATTTTATTTATTTAAAAAT